GAAAATGAATAATGCTTGGAATATCACAAAAGTTTCATGAAGTTTTTTAAACTAAGATTAAAAGAAATAAATGTTTCTTCTCCAGGGCCATTTTAAATGTTTAAGAACAACATTACATTTCTTTCACACAGAGACACACATACATACACACACACACATTTATTTGTTGAGGCAAGGTCTTGCTACATAGTCTAGCCTGGCATTAAGATTATCATCCTTCTGCCTCAGTTCTAGACTTCCGAAATTACAGAATACAAGTGTGCATACCTATGGATGGGAATAAAATACAATTTTGTTTCAGTGGTCTTGCTTTGGTTAGATTCGGTCCTTACAAATACACATTCGTCTTCATAGTCTGTTAGATAAGTGATTTTAGACAACATACTGTGGTCCTTGTAACAAGGAAGTGTGCTCTGTGTTCTCTAGAGTTGTTATGCCACAACTGTAATAAACATATTTCAGGATGTTGATTCTCATTATGTGGACTCATATTTTTCTCAGCACAAATTTTCAGCTTCTATAATAAACACAAATATCATCCATTTTGGAAAATGAGACAAGGAAGAAAAACTTCTACTCTGTGACATTATTAGAGCAGGTATGCGTCCTGAAAAGAGAAAGAAAAGTTACGGCAGGCTTTCATTTAATTTTTGCCTTTAACAGCTTGGGTATTATAAACACTATAGATCCTTGAGCGCACACATTTTATTATTTTCCTTCATAGTGTGACATCTAGCTGTCTTTCTTTCTATAGGTTATAGTACAGATGTCTACAATGGTGATGAACATAAAAGAAGTTTGATTTAGTCAATAGTATATATTTCTGCTGAGGCTGAAGCCCTCTTATTTGCATTAGACGCCATCAATTAGCTTATCTTTTATTATTGTCATTTTGACATAAGGTGCTATACCAGAATTAACAATAGTGGAAAACTTTAATGTAAATGTTTTTTCAGTGGAATGTATTTTGTAATTCAAAATTCCAATGCTTTTTCTTTGATAGTCTCCTGTGATATTTTGTATCCAAAATAGTCAGTGTGCACTTTCAATGGAAGTTCACACAAATTTCAAGACTTGTTATTCCTCACATTTAGCAGAATATAATAGCAGTAGTATCAAGAACTGCCCAGTTTCTTAGCAAGCTCTCACATGCCCTCTCTTGAAGATACTCATGCACAGGTGGGGGTGCTATAGACTCTTGGCAAGCCAGAATGCTTCATCATGACTAGAAAATTTCACTTGGGATATCCTCGTTTGTATCAGATGTAGAAATTGATACTAAAATACACATTTAATGCGAGATTTGTAGCATTATCTTTACTGCAAAATGTGATAAGACAGCTATGACAATTTATTATTATGGTTGAAAGAGTGTTTTTTTTAAAAACATAGCCAAAGTGTTCTTTTTTGAATAAATAAAAATGAGCTGCTGTCCCCTAAGTCCGCTTCCTCTCCAGAAAAGAAAGAGTTAAAGAGGAGGTTAATCCTTAAATACAAAGATTGCTTTACCTGCCAGTGTTTTCATATAGGATGGGAAGGACTTGAAAGTGCAGCTACAGTCTCCAAAGGCCCCTTCTCCCTTCAAGTCCACACTAGCTGGCTTCTGTTCTCCCAGGAAAGAGGAAAAGAACATTTTCACTGACCCAGCTTCTCCGTGATTTACATTCAGAGAGGAAATGAATGAATGGAGTGGGGGATGGGTAACTAAGAAGCAATGTGCTGTCTTTTTAACCGCAGAAAATAAAATTACTTACCAAGAACATTTTTTACCCATGTAAATGCTTAGCCCTCCTATCATTCAGCAACTCGTTTCTACGGGAAATAAATCTAGGTCCAGGTTACCACCTCCTCCAGATGCATAATTTGTACGCTTCAGGGTGCAGAGCAAGACTGAGCTGGAGTTCAGGTCTACAGACTCCTATCTGACTGTACTTTCTATACATCTTCTGGGTCACTCAGATAACTCCTAAAGATGAGGACCCAGAATCTTCCCTCAGAAAAGATTTTCAGCAGCGGGGTGATGTTCATTCCTTGATCAAAAAATAAATCAGTTGCGGAGTTATCAGGTCTTTCAGTCAAACAGGCAATTCCACAGTGCCCGTAGATTTCGAAGAGGAGAGAGAAAGGGGGAGGGAGACAAGAGGGCGGGGGCGGGGGGGGCAGGGAAAAAAAGGGGGGAGGAATAGATTTGGGGGGGAGAATGGGGTCACAGAAAGGAAACGGGAGACGAGATCAGGCTAATCTTACCCAATCGATCTGCTGATCAGGTGATCGTTTATGCGGTATCAGGACACGAAAATGACACGACAATGCAATCCACAGCAAAGCCGTTTCTCTACTTTAGCTCCGTAACTGCAGAAATCAAATGCAAGGCAGACAGGGCACAGACCGCCACTCCTGCATCTCTCCTACTACACCCCCAAGGGACCAGGGAAGGTCCTCAGACTGTCCTAAAATCTAGCTTCTTAAAGCATGGTTTGGCGCTGGGGCTCCGGATTAAAATCAATTGCCTTAAACACAGGCAGCATGGTTGATCAAGAAACTGGGACCTAGGAGATCTGCTGCCGCCTAAGCATCCCATCACCCACTCCAGGATCCCCTTGCTAACCCTCCAAAGCATAGCGCCCTCAAATCCTTCAAGCGATTAGAACCTTCAACCATTCCTCTCCCAGTCCCTGTCAATGCAAAAATCGCTGACGATTTGTTCAAAGCAATGAAACCCGTTCTGCTTGCTTATTTGGGGGTGTGGGTTATGTCAGGTTTTCTTACTATGCCTCCTTCAGTTGCTGCGAGGGAAGGGGTTCCAGGGAACTACTAGTGAAAGGCACTGATGGAATAGTATTAATCCTAATGATAACGTTCCCGGCGCAGGTAAACTCTGAAAAGAACTGCCGAGTGGGAAGACCCTGCAGGATTTCCGAAGCGGTGCTCTCCTGAATTCTCATTGGATCGTCCCCAGCAGCCTAAATCATTGCTGCTGCACTCTGAGGATGACTACAGCCTAGCTCACTAGTTCTATACTCCCTATCTTCAACACATCCTTTTACTTCTCTTTGCAGATCTGTTTGGGTTAGGCATCTTTTTCTCGCGGTGGCTTACCCAGCTTCTGGCTTTCCTCACTGTGTGGGGACACAGATTTCGGTAAATTTATTTGGCTGAGGATCATCACAGAAAAGGCTCCACTGCAACCCATCCCCAGTAAAAATCACTTCTTTAACATTTTGCCTTTTTTTTACTTTGGGGATCTTGACCCCCAAATAACTGGCTCTCTGTTGGTTAGATGCAACCAAAAACTGCTGAATACTTCCACGTCCTGCCGCTCTGCATCTCACAGACCTAAAAGGTTTTGGAAGACCATGGAATATTTCCTTGAATCCTGGATATATTCCTCTCACTGTCATCTTGCTTCATGAAATTTCCTCTGGTAAGTATCTCTTTACATGTGGTGAGCAACTTGTAACTTAATACTAGTGTTATTATTATTATTTTTAAATAAGCAGATTCCTCCCCCTCTTTCTCTCCCCCCCTTTTTTGCATGGCTATAGTTACATTCAATTTGCAAGTACCGATACCTATGTGACCATTAGTACATGATGGGACTAGTAAGATGTAGTCCATGCAAAGACTAGTTCCAATACCAATACCTCTTTCTTTATTTTTTAAAAAAAGAAAGTTCTCATTTGTACTACAAGTCTCTATCAGATAGTGTGGACATCACCTCTTACCAATTTACTGCTCTTGGAACACAGTGTTGTACCATTTGAAAGGGTATTTTCTTTTCTCTTAGTCTATGAAAATGCCTGAAAGAGCAGTGACTTTCTGGGTTTAAAAAAGTTCACTAGTCTCTCTGATGTTCAGAAGGTTGTCCAGGTCAGTGTGTGCTTATTGCATCCTAAACATGTGAATGGTTGAGGGGGGACTTTGGTAAAGTGTGTCTTTTCGGATTGAATAGGAACCTAGACACTAACATGTTATTATATTGCAAGGAAAGGAGTCTGAGTTTTGAGGGCATAATTCTTATACAAAAGCCTCAGCACACATGAGCACATTATTTTGGTCATTGTGGTTCCTGTTGAGGCAGCATTTTGCAATGCATTTCAGGTTTTGTGAACTAAACTGGCAAACAGTTAATTGGTCAGGGAGGTCTCCCTTCAGATGAAGAGAGCGATCAGAAGCCACTGATTATCTGGGTTCTAATGCACTGAAATTCAGGGAGGGGCTTTACATGAAAAATGTAATTGCCTCACTCCTCTCACTTGCCCACCCCTGCCCTCAGATTTTAATAAGTATGTTAATATAGTCCCTGCCTTGTGCTTTCATGAACATTTCTAAGGGCTTTAACTGACAATCACTTCCTATGCCACCTAGTTGTGATGAGAAACACTTAAATGTTGGCTTTCACTTCACACTGGGGCAAGTGTTTGATATTTATCAAACACAAATCTGCATGTGTCAGTAATCTGTAAAGCACCCAGAGAGAGGGATATTCTGTGATCCCCCCCCCAAACTCTCAAATAAGGATAAGTTTCTGGACTTTCCCTCTTTATTGGGGTGGGTGGAGGTGAGGTTCTATTGTTCAACTGTCTTTTCCCTAAGTTAATTGGGGGGGGGGTCTTTTTAATTTCTGGGAAAGAACTATTCCAGTCATTGATGGCTCCTGCGACAAATCTAGGCAATGATTTCTTTCTTTTTAATTCAAAAGCCTTTTAAGCTTCTAGACATAAAAGTACTCCAGCTGCACCACCGCCCCATCCCCCTCCTCCTCTCAGATTCCTGGGCTTTCCCCCTTGCCTCCCACCGAGTAGGAGAGGGTTTGGGGCTGACACAGTGGTCTGCACCTCTTGGCGTCCCTCACCCAGAGCTAGTTTCTACCTGCTGTCTTTGCCAGTTCCGTCCGTCCTGCCTGACAAGCCAGTGCCATTAGCGTCCGTGACTTCATTTGAAGAAACGAGGCTTTGGTGTAATTCGCCAATTCAAATATCCTCTCTAGAGGACTACTGCTGTTGCGCAAGGGTGGAGGGAGGGAGAGAGAGAGAGGAGAAAACTTTCAGTGCAGTCAGACCGTTTTCTGCTTAATCAGTGTGGCACAGTGAGGCACAGACATTCGCTGTCTAGGTAAGTGCGTTTTGCTGTGTTAGAACCCTGAGCTCAGTATTGTACGAGGGGAACTGACTCAAGAAACAGGCTCTAGCAGCCAAGGATGCTTTAACCAGAGGGCTAGCAACAGGCGACTGTGTCTGGAGATTTTGCCGCTGCTTTTAGCTACCTCTAAGCCTCCTGGGTTCTAGGGACATAGAGAGCAAAATGCCTGGTTGCCTAACTGGCCCAGGGCTCAGTTCTGGTGCGGGAGCAAGAGGGTAGGGATGGAGTCCCCGACCCTTTGGCGTAGGGTGCGCTCTCAGCCCTGCTGCTCGCGGTGGACATTTGCTACCGAGGAGAGTGGGCTCACAAGGGTTTTGCGACACCCCCCCCCCCCCCGCAATGCCTGTTGTCCAGTCTTCCTGGGTCCCCAAACCTCTACTGCGGGAAAGACAGACTTGTTTTGTTTTTTTTTCCTGCAATCTCTTAACATCTCTCTGTGTTGCAATTTCTTTATTATTTTCATGTGCTGAATCTAAGCACAGCGCTCGATACTTCTCCAGGATGACTGTTTTGTAAAGCCCCGATCGCCTTGTTTTCTGCTTGTTTAGTAGGGCTTAGGATAAGCTGAAGGACTTTTTTTGATCAATGTTAAAGTATTGCTAACCGTCATCACCCCTTTCTTTCCTTCCTTCACTAACTCACAGAATCCAGAGAGCGGTAGGGTGAAGTGAGTTGGGTTTTCAACTTGGAACCAAGGCTTGGAATGCAATGTTATCTGCAATTCGAGGTTTAGGAACTACAGGCTTATGCTAAAGCCACTGTAAAGTTCTCCCTTTTGCATTGCTCACCCTTTTTCTTTGAGGTGGGGTGAAAAGAAATAAGACCTATTATTGGGCACTGTGCTCCGGAGGTGACCACCGAGGGGGGGGGGGCGGGGTGACACTTCAAGGCTGCAGGCTTCTGCTGCGAATGTAGCCAAACAGTGGCAGAGTTGAAGTCTTTGATGGCTGCTTACCCTAGTCTCTAAGAGTTGAAGCACAAAGCCTTGTACTTTCCTTTAGGTCCAGAACGTGATCAGTTCTTCAGAGCAGGGACCTCCTTGTAAGTGGACTAAGGCTAAGGGATGCAGTGTAAGCTCCATTTGAAAGGGTAAAATGCACTTTCCCTGCTGTGTGAGCTGCCAAACAGCTGTTAGAGAAGAGGAGGAGGTGACCAGGGTTACAAATTAACCCTAGCTTTGCTTGCAAAGGAGAGCCAGTCAAATATATGCAAGCTAAGAAAGCCCCAAGCTGTGAAGCTGTCAAGCAGCCTGGAGACAGATGATTCAGATTCTGGGGACTTTTTCTTTGGATTTGTTTGTCATCATGGAGTTAACCAGGTAAGGACTGAATGTCTGTACGATATCATCAACTGCATAGTCTGTTTTCGTTTCAGGCTACAGAATCCATGCATTTTCAGATGGTCCTAGCTTCCACAACTTCTTAATATTCACATTCATGTAAACGTTAAATACCCTTTAAAGTTTGGATTGTGTTCATTTAAATGTTTAATGTGATCTTATTCAAACGTTAAAATGTGGCAGAAAATCATAAAATGCACCTATGTGAGAGGCAGTGATTGGGAGGGCAGAGAGTGAGAGGAAGGGGTGGATAGCCATAATGAGATACGGAAGAGGCAGTTACTGAAATGCCTTGAACTGCCTCTATTGCTGGGGTCACAAACCTTTCTATACAGAGGGTGCCTGGAGAACTATTAAGGGCCTCTTGAACTAGAAAAGTCATTTTGACTTTTTAAGAGAATGATTTGTGGACATTCTTGTTCTATTTTCTCAATCTTGAAAACAAAAATACTCATGTTTGTTATTGGGTTAGATTTGTAAAATTAGAGGGGGAGAGGAAGTTGCCCAAAGGCAGGGTTATACACGAACCTGGTACAGACATCTTAAAGTATAAGAGAGACAGATGAAAAATGAAAAAGAAATGAGAAGAAAATGGAAACACATCCCAAACATACCTCTTTTTTATTCAAAGTTTTGTAGATATGTAGTTTGAGCAATCAGTAGATTTCTTCCACCATCAATTAAAATGTCAATTAAAATGACAATATACAGGCATGGTCTAATGCTTATTATTATTACTGATGTTTTCTTTTTTTATACTATGCTTATAGCTGTAAGAACTAAGAATTTTCAGAAGGTGAAGCATAAAACCCAACAAATTAATGAGACACCATCCTAAATTATGCAGTTGCTAATAGCATTTTGTCAAAAAGATTATTCTTACATTCTTGGTGGAAATAATTTTAGTGTTTGAATTTATTGATGTGAATCTCTTAGTCATTTTTCTGCTTCTAATGCTCACTGATAAACTATTGAATAAATAAGAATAATTGAAACTCTGGGTGGGAAAATTGCAAAGTTAATAGTACTTTTTTTACTTTTAGTTTGAGGCAAAAGTGAGTTTTTATCCCACAAGAGAAAGTTTTCACACATTTCAGTTTGTCAATTCTTTTGTATTTTAGTCTCTGCAGTTCTGTTATAATAAACACACTCATTGTGTCTCTGTGTGGATATGTGTATCTGTCTCCAGTTTTGGACTGATGGAGAAGACATTTATGTCACATTTTAATTATTTAAACAATAATCTTGAAGTAAGATATGCAGGATATCCTATAAGAATCAATTTTATTTGCTTTGAACTGAAACATGTATGATACCATCTTCTTATGGGCTTTTTAGTTGTAAGGAAACCCAATATTGAAGGATAAATGTATGATTTATAAATTATAGCACCTGTTGATTATTTTCAATATAATTATTAGTGTACAACAGCTAAGAAAATCAGATATATGTAGAAAGACGTCTCTATATTTAAATGTAAGGATTCACATAAATATTATATAAACAAGCACAAATTCTCCCTACCATTTCATTTACTGGATTGCTAGACTTGTGTGTTTTTACACGCAAAACAGTTGCTCTCCTGAGTAGTTCTTCCTAGGCATGACTTTGCAAGAGGTAACTGAAACAAAGTGGTGGGCCTTCTAAACCTTGTAACATTCTTCTCAACCTTGCCACCATTGTAACACCATGTCAAGATCCTTTATTTCTTACTGTTATTTTATTCTGTTCATATTATCGCTACACTACAATGCTGATTAGAGAAATATTCTAAAATTATTATTATTTTAGAAAATTAACACTAATATTTAAATATTTTCAGGATAAATGGTACAATGAGAAGAACATGTGGCAAGCTTAGCATAAACTTCTTTTTCGTTTCAAAGAAAACCTGAAATGCGTTTGTAATTATGTTCAGGATTTGGATTGATCTAAAACTCTTCCCTATGTACTGCTTCAGCTCTGTAAGAGTAAGGACATGGGAAAGGTCAAGTGTTGGTAGACACAGCACCTTCTCCTACATCACTACTTTAGTCTTAACTCGTCTACATTGTTCTACTAACATTTTTTCCTGCCATATTTATTTATTGTTCCCATTTCTTCCATGAATAACAGAGAGGAAAGAATGCTCTCAAATGACAAGCCAAGAAAAAAATTAAAGAAATTAAAGACAAAAAAATTGAAGTAAAAAACATAATTCATCTCACAAAAGATTCTGTTATGTGTGAATTTCTTAGTGTCACTATAGTGTTATGATTTCTTGAGAAAAAATGTTGATGCAACTACTTTTAATGTAAATATCAAGTATTCTTGGTCCCTGTGCAGTGATGTCACCTGAGTTTTACTATTATGCACTTTTTAAAAAGAAAAATTGTATATTTGCTGAAACCTAGTAGCTATTATTTTATTGTGAGGATATTTAAATTTAATTTTATCTTCTTTATGAAAAGACAGATACTTTTATAAGATAGTCTTTTGGTAGACTGACTTCTTATAGCCCTTAAATTAAAGAAAATGCTAATCCTTTGTAGATTTATGTTATTAGTTTGATCTCTATCTTCAAATAAATTAAATCTTCTTATATAATATTATCAAAATAGAGAAGCTTAAATATTGTAATTTTTAGTTTTTTAAAAAATAAAATCATATTCACTTTACTAAAATGAAGGAGGGTTGACATCTGAACTGTTGGTGTATTAATTTAGCAACTATTTGGAGATTATTTTTCAGACACAAAGCGGTGTACCTCAGAATAGCATTCTGATGTAACACTATATTTATTTTATGATTTCATAACTTGAGCATCTACAATTAACAAATTCCCATTGAGTGCAAGAGAAAAAAATACTAATTTTATTATTTGGGAAATGACAATTTCAAGTGCTTAAATAATAAGAATGTACACTAATGTTTATTCTGTCATATAAAAAATGATTCTTAGAAGTTGAAATTTAATCTGTGTACTAATGGCCTTTCTATCCAATCAATATCTGGAAGGATTCACTAGGAACAGTTCTTTGATTTCTTGATGGTATCAAATGGCAAAGGTAATCCTTTACAATGGTCTGCAAATATACTTGTGTATAACGTTTTAAAGCTCTTATAACTATTATTTCCAAGAATATCTGATAAGGAAAAAAACATTTCTATTTAATTATCGCTGATATTCCTACCGAATTGCAGAAATTTCATAAGCAATTATTTTATAAGTTATGAATCTGCTGCACTTTAAAATAAATTAATTTGAAAAAAAATAAAAAAAATTGTGTTGTCTCCTAATTAATATTCAAAGCAACAAAATTTTCATTCTTTAACAAGTTTTTTTCCCAAAGATAAATTCACAAAATTAATACATTTTTGAAGGACAGTTTGCATTACTACCTACTTAGTGGTGAAATCACTGTGTGTTTGGAGGTTTATTTTTAGTTAAGAAAGTGTGAACTGAGATGCTGAAAGTGATATAAAATCTCCTTACTTGAGTAAGCAACAATTCTCAATCTATTATTTTTCAGTCTTAATGTTATTTGTATGATTTATCACACTTAGAGATTAAAATGTTTATCCACAGTGTAACTTATTATACATATTATTTTAAGTAATTCTTTAATGTGTAAATCCTAATTTATCCAGATTC